CAAGCCCTTGATGTATTTCTCTGATGTAATGGTAAACTACTACCACGTCCCTTCTCAGCCTTCTCTTTTTTAGGCTGAAGAGGCCCAAGTCTCTCAGCCTTTCCTCATATGGCTTGCCTTGCAAGTCTCTGATCATACTGGTGGCTCTTCTCTGGACTCTCTCAAGGTTTCCCACGTCCTTGTTGAAGTGCAGCAACCAGAACTGGATGTAGTGTTCTAGCTGCAGTCTCACCAATGCTGAGTAAAACAGAAGAATCACTTCCTTCATTTTGCTTGAGATGCACTGGTTGATGCATGCCAGAGTATTGTTTGCCCTCCTGACTACAGCATCGCACTGCTGGCTCATGTTCATACTATGGTCTATTATTACCACTAAGTTCTTTTCAGTCCTGGTGCTAGTCAGTTTGGCGCCACCAAGCCTGTAAGTATGTTGGGGATTGTTCGTCCCCAGATGGATCGCTTTACACTTCTCAATGTTGAGCTTCATCTGTTTAAGTTTTACGCTGACCCTAATGAAATCCTGACTCTCATCCCAGAAAAGGTCAAGATTATCCTCCTTGGAGACTTCAATGAGATAGTTGGCTGGGACTTTCACATGTGGAGGGGCACCATTGGGAAGGAAGGAGCAGGCAAGGTCAATTCCAACAGCATCTTTTTACTCACCATGCAACACTCCCACTCAAAACAGATTATGTTATTCTAAGAGTGCATGATCTAAAAGATATCCATATCACCTGTGTCATGAGAGGAGTCAATGACTGCTGGACTGATCATCATTTAGTGAGATCAATCATGCACATCTGAGTTGTGTTGAAACTTCGAAAGCAAATCAAATCAGTTAGAAGACCGCACAACATCAAATGCCTTCAGATCCCTAGATCTGTGAAGCCCTCCAAACATAGCTAATAAGAAACCTGACAATTTTAGGATTAAAAATTATAACACTTGCGTTGAGGAAGATTGGCAAGCTCTAAAAGAAACCACCCATGAGGCTTGCACAGAATCAATTGGCTTTATCACCTGACATCATCAGGACTGGTTTGATGAAAATAACACTGAGATCAAAGCCCTTCTTGATCAGAAGAGAAAAGCTTTCTGTGACTGGCAAAATTATCCTACATCTAGTCAGAAGCAAGGAAATTTTCAGTAGCTTAAAGCAGAAGCCCAGAGGAAGATTCAAGAAGTCAAAAACAAATGGTGGGAAGAGAAGGTGAAAGAAATCCAACAATTTGTTGACAATCATGACATGCAGAGCTTTTTCAGTGCAATCAAAGCTGTGTATGGACCAAGTTCTTGTGGACTTACCCCACTTAGATCTGAGGATGGCAGTGTGCTCCTCAAAGACAATAAGTCCATCAAAAACTGCTGGAAGGAGCACTACTCAAAAGCTCCTGAACTGAGACTTGACGGTGACTGATGAAACCATCAAATCCATCCCACAGCATCCAGTAAAGAGAAGCACTTGCCAATCTACCAACCTCTGAAGAAATCTACCAGGCGATAATGCAGGTGAAGAACAGCAAAGCATCTGGCCCTGACTGCATACCAGCTGAGGTCTTCAAAGTTGGTGGGAAAACTATGACCAACAAGCTCCACACTGTTTCTCAAAATCTAGAACAGTGAGGAAATTCCTACTGACCTAAGGAATGCCAACCTTTGCACTATTTTTAATAAGAGAAATGAGGCTGAGTGTGGAAACCATCAAGGTATCACCCTCCCCTCCATCTCTGGGAAGATCTTCGCTCGAATTCTGCTGAACTGACCATCCCGTCTTACTGAAAAAATCTTTCCTGAGTCTCAATATGGTTTCAGATCATTGAAAAGCACCATAGACCTGATTTTGGTGGCTCAGCAGATCCAGGAAAAATGCTGAGAACAACACCAGGAACTGTATATGGTTTTTATCAATTTGACCAAAGCCTTCAATTCTGATAACCATGAGGCTCTATGGAAGATCTTATCGAAGTCTGGCTGCCCAGGGAAATTTATCACCATACTGACTCCTTGATGACCAGATGACTGTGCAGTGGCTCCTCTACGGAGCCCTGTGCCATTCAAAGTGGTGTCAAGCAGGGCTACGTGATTACACCAATTTTGTTTTCCATCTTTCTTGTAGTCATCAAGGTGCTTATTTGTGGCCATTTGCCCCATGGCATCAGCATTGAGTACAGGATGGACAGGAACCTTTTCAACCTTTCCCACCTCATTGCCAAAACCAAAGTTACATCAGCCTCAACTGTGGAACTTCAGTACACCAATGATTGTGCTGTCATTGTTCATACTGAGGAGTACCTACAAAGAGCCTTTAACTGCTTCTCTCAAGCATACCAGTGCTTGAGACTGACCCTTATCATTGGAAAAACAAAGATGCTTCACCAGCTTGCTCTGGGTCAGTAAACGCCCCTGGCAAAGATCCTCATCGACAGACAGGAGTTAGAGAATGTTGAACACTGCATACCTCAGCAGCCATCTCTCAAAGAAAGCCAAAATTGATGACGAGATCCAGTATAGGATCTGATATGCCAGCTCTGCCCTTGGAAGACTGTATCATTGTGTGTTCAAAGATCACAACATAAAGACTTGGAACAATGCTCCTATTATATAAGGCTGTGGTAACCCCAATTCTTCTCTATGGCTGTGAAGCTTTGGTGACCTACAGGGACCACCTGAAAAGCCTGGAATGCCTTCACCAGCACTACTTCTAGAAGATCCTTGGCATAAAATGAGAGGATTGTCATACAAATGCCAGGGTCCTCACCAATGCTAACACCACCAGTTTGGAAGCATTGATTAGAAGCTGCAGTAGACAAGGCATTGCAGGCACATGCCTAATGTATATTTACCAAAACGACTGTTATACTCCCAACTCAGCCAAGGACAAAGGGCATGCAGGTGCCAGAGGAAGCACTTCAAAGACACCCTCAAGGCAAATACTAAGAAGTTTGGCATTGACACCACAAATTGGGAAAATCTAGCCAGCGACAGGGCTACATGGTGAGGCCTTGGGAGAGAAGGTACATCTTCCTTAGCAGAAAACCATCTCACCCTGGAGGCAGAAAAACAACAGAAATGGGAGGAAAGGAAAAGACCAAGAAAACCGCTGTCCGATCCTCCCTTGAACCACCACCTGTGGCATCTGCCAGAGATTCTGTGGCTCTAGAATCAGCTTTTTAGCTATCAACAGACTCCTCCACATTCCTTTTACTTGACCCGTGGGAGTGATCATCCTCGACCGTGAGAGGTCACCGATGATGACAGTAAAAAAAAAGAGCCAAGGTGATAAAAAATGGGATTCACAATTTAAAACTGGGAATAGATAGTAGCCATCAAAATTGAGGAGCAAATCTAGTCACCATCTTTTCAAAAGTGAACAGACAAGGACTCTAAAAAATGCCTTAGCTTTAAAGAAAGTTAGCCAGTCCAGAGAAGGTATGCAATCCATGGCTTGCTTTGGTAATATCAGCAATTTGGTGCCTCGGCCAGACTGTACATGTTCCTAGACAGCCCTTCACTGGAAAATGCAAATTGTATGTGGCCCTCAGCTGAGGCTAAATTGTGCACTTCTATCATAACATCCCCTGAATTGTATTTTCATAAATGGAAAGTCACAATACTTAAGTTGATTATATATTCCGCCACACTTAGACTGTCAAAAATGAAGCTGAAAGAAATAGGCTATAACATCTACTAATTTAAATATTTAGCAACAGCTATCAAAATAAGACTAGTATGTGGTGGCAATTATGCAACAGCATTTAGTATTTATTTTTAAATTCACAATGTTTATTCCATAGATATAGAGACAAAAAGAACTGTCATCAAATCTAATATACTTATCCTTATATGACTACATTGCTCTACCAGCCTATTTTACACTTTCTATCAGTATCATCTAGTTTCATGTGTTCAACATGTGCGGGCCGCCTCCCGATCCCGTCCATGTCGCCATGTGCGAGCTGGGAGCGATATGCGGACCCGTCTTTGCACATGCGGGCTGTGGCCAGCAGCCCGGGCACGCGGGGTCAGAAGAAACCGTGCGGCGGCAAGGCACGCACGGGCTAGAATTAGTCACAGACGCGTAGTGGTTGATTCAAAGATTATTTACTTACACCCAAGATGGTCGCGGTGTAGGCTGGACAGTTTCCAGGTTCAGCTCTGCTTAAATCCTCATTGGAGGACTACGACAAACTCGGTTCTTGGGCCCTGGAGTTGTTAAGGCTCCGCGGGTTCGGCAATTTCTTTCCCATGGAGTTGTCGAAGCTCCGTGGGTTTGGATCTTGAGTATATAGGATAGGGATACGTCTAGGATTGCGCTCGGCGACAGGGAGAGGCCAGAGGCTGTTTAGACCTCTGTTGCCTTCTTAAGAAATGCGTTGGGTTCGTAAGGATCCGCAGCGCTTAGAGATCTTCACGCTCTCCCTCTGGGACTCCAATTGCTTTCTCTCCCACTTGGGCGGAAACCACCCAAGCTCTTTAAACGGCTAGCAAGCCAATTGCTAGCCGCCACGTGTGCATAATTTAACACAAGCCAATAATGGGGCTCGAATTAAAATACAAATAGCGGGAACTCCTTTGCACCGTGCATTTCTGAGATGCAAAAGAAATGCATCATGCAAAGAAAACTACAAATTGGCGGGAAAATTCTCCGTTGCACCGGAGTTCTCCTCTGCAGCAGAGAACTCCATCGTGCAAAGAAGCTGCAATTTAACGGGAACATAATTTAGCAGTGCCAAAGCACACACAAAACAAAAATTCACAACTTTGGGTTGTGACACAACAGTCTTTCAGCTATAGAATATGTGGCAGAATTCACTGAAGAGTTGTGCTCCACTGGTCCATCTTTTGTTTAAATAAAATTATAGAACAGATGTATAATATATAGACAAAGGATATATAACACAGCTCCATGAAATCCAATGGATCTACATAGACTATCAACAGCTGAGTAATTTCCAACAGGGTTGCAAAGGAAAACTTCAAAATATTAATCTAGTGTATACCTGATGGTGCTTGCAGGTAACCTGAATCAATGGCGTCAGGGAGGTACGAATGATCAACTGACCATTAATTCTGAAATTTAAAAATGACAATTAGTAGTATGCTGAAAAATGAACAGTGTAAAATAAATTAAATATCAAAATAAACACAGGAGCTGTGGACTTTTATTCCACATTTAAAGTGAAACTTCCATTTTATACATTCATTGGACTCCACAACTGAATTCGTGCTTTAATTATTTCAGAAATTATAGGCTACAGCAGGAAGCATTGTTTGAAATTCTGGTATTGGACTGAATGAACCCAATCGTCTCTTTAGGTTTTCAAATCTATGAATTTAAGTCCACTTATCACAAAGAACTCATGACTGCTTATTATACTAACAACATTCATGACAAGGATCTCCTAGCTCAGAATCTTGATTCAGAAGCCACTTAACCACAGATTCTTTGAATCCTGGAGAAAGGTCTTTACAATTTCAAATTTAATACAAGTGGTTTGTGGCATTAGATAATTTCTGAAACAAAACTCAGTATATATTCAAGCAAGCCACTGAAAAGGAACTACAGCATCCAGCAGAGGCATGAAAACTGCAGGTCTTTTCAACATCGCTCCAATCCTACTAAGTCGTTCTAGAGGCTTTTAAATTGATGGGGTGGCTTTGAACTATGCAGACTCAGCGTGGGTGGGCGAGTCTGGAGCAGGTGCTGGGTGGGCTGAGGCCAAGGCTGTGTGCACAGGTTCCAGCTGATCCACTCCAGCTGGGACAAGTCCAGAGAGGGTGTGGGTGCAGGGTGGGCTGGGGCCAGGTCGGGGCTGTGCACTCAGCTGCTGCTGGGCACTGGTGGCATTGGCGGGGAGGAGCCACAGGGCATGCGGGCTCTGGGCTGTTGCGAAGAGGGGCATGCTGACCAGCCTGCAACAGCTCCCCAGAACTGCCTGTGTGGCCTGTGAGCCCAAATAATTGCCCACCCCCACCTATAACTCACCCATAACTGTAAGGGAAAGGACTTGAAAATCTTGACCCCAACATGGTCCATTTATACTGTACTAATAAAATATATTAAGCCTTAACAAAGCACAGAACCCCATATTTAACACTAAGCACATGAACTATCTCAATGACTGGATGAAGGCCTTGTACAATAGCACAGTGTTTCCCAACCAGTGTGCCGTGGCACAAAAGTGTGCCATTGGAAATGAACAGGTGTGTTGTGGAATTTTGCCATGGCATTGAGCTACAATAGGTATGAGGTTGGGGAATGCCTTAAGAGGTGTGCCACGGAAAAAATTTTATTAATGTAAGTGTGCGTTGGGCTGGAAAATGTTGGGAAACACTGCAATAGCATACAGACTTTATGAGCATATTTATCCATTTTCAAATGATGCTTATCTGTTTGCTAATGGCATCAAGACCTTATCCACATAAAAGATATTCAATGAACATTTAATACACATTAATCTTGTTTTGCTTTTCTGTTTTGGTAGCTATTTCCAGCAGGGTTACCAGCAACAAGAGCTAATTGTCCTCCTTAACAATCCCTTTTCAGTTTACATATATTTGATACTTAAAATTGTTTGCATACTTTGCTGCATGGGTATTCTCAACAGGAATGATGTCATGGAATACATATGCCCAAAGTTTCTTGAATCTGGGATAAACTTAAGAGGAATTTAGGGATTTGCAGATGTAGGGACAGGCACCATTTCAACCAACAATAAATGGTTCTTGATTATGTCATCTTTAACCTCAAGCACAATTACAGCTATGTGGCTTTCTAAAACCAGTTTAATTCCCAGTTGCTACGCAGAACTGAAGATAAGTAGAATTGCTTTTCAGAATTAGCAGATTTACCTCTCTAGCTAAGTAAACAAGTTCCCGATCTGGGAAACCAATTGAATTTTGGTTCAATGTGGCTTAATTTCTCTCTCTAATATATTACATTGTTACGACTACTTTTGCACAATCTTCAATGATTTTGAACATCAGCTAGCCATTCTTCTTAGTACTTAGAAATTCTTTAATGAATTCCTTGTAGTGGAACGTTGAAACTCTTTAATAGGACTTTGAGGTCGTAAGACCCTTGTTTTCTTGAAAGTATCGTTCTTTATGTAAATTTCTAGTTTTCAAATAATGCCCTGGCCCGTATGCAGGCTAGGGACATCTTTGATACAGACACTTCTGGTGGTGCTTCCACATCTTTGGGGAGCCCTTCTGCCCCAAACCCCTCTCTGTTCTTTGCCGTTTGACCATCGAGAACCAGCTGTGATGTACCAGAGGACACAAATAGAAGTTATATTTATCATGTGATCAGGAGCCCTCTGAAAGCACTCTACAGTCATGCTGTGACACATGTGACAAATTAACCCTCATCAAATGAAGGATCAGATGCAGGCACTTCACTTAGAAGCACCTTAGAGAACTTCAGGTCCCTAGGGTACATCTGTCATGTGACTGAGGCTAAGCTGATGTATCCCAGCCCTGCCCCCAGTGCTGTCTGCAGGGAGGAAGGGGGGGTGGGAAGGGAGCTGCAGGCTGGGGTGTGCCTGCCCCCACTTCTTTCATTTCAGGCTGGGCAAACCCCAGCCCACACCTTGCTCCTCCTCCCTTCCTGCACACAGAACAAGAGTTGAGAGGGCGGAGGTGGGCTGCATCAGCCCAGCTCCAATTGCATGACAGGCAGGCAGGCTTGATCCCTCCCTCCACCCACCCACAGGCAAATGTCTGTTAGGTAGTGGAGGAAGGGGGGGTGTCACTAACTTATGGCGTTTCATGTAAAGCGCTATGAGTTAGAGCAGGGACTTGTACATCTGTCAGCACCTAGAGTGTCTCTACCCTACCTATCTTGTTCAGCAGAGGGGATCCAGCCCTTATTTAGCAGAGGGGATTTTGCCAGCTAGAAGGATCATACCTTTGTCTAGTTATGAGCTCGGAAAAAATGGATCTCCCTTTCTGAAGATGCGCACGTCTGTATGATCAAATACCCTGTAACTGCAAGTGTCACTGACATTGAGTAGTTTATAAGAGGATAAAAGATAATAAAAAGGATTTATTACAAAAAACCCCAACAAGATGATAAATTAGTAACCATGTGTTGAGATACAGAGATATAAGAATAAACAAGCAAACAAACAAATAAATCAGAATAGCCTGTTCTTACCCTGCACCTTAAAATCAAGCCAGCTTCAATGGGTTAAAAAGCAGTTTCTCCCTTTGACCTTATCACCAGGACCTCCAGCAATTTCTTTTACCAGCTCAGGCTAACAGACTCCAGTCTCCCTTGCTAAAGACAAAGCCATGCTCTCAAACCAGGCTTAAATATATTTTTCTCTGGCTGTTCACATACATCACCTGTTGGGTTTGAACCTGCAGGGGAGTGGGGTGGGGGGAGGTTCACAATATGCTCATAACTTCCAGCCCCCAAAAGTGCATGTTTTCCAGACTATAAACTGGGAGAACATGCGTATCCCTTTCAGACATGGAGATTTCCTAATCTAATATATTATCTCTCTCCTAATTTCCCTTTAGTGGGAAATGTTCTCCTTGTTTCAAGTTATTATTTCATGATAGAGCTTTTCCTTGTAAAATGTAAATTCACCATTGTCTGGTTACGGTCTGGTTCCCATGCCTCAGAACACATATGCAAGGGTGATGAGTAAACAAACCCCTGTCAAATGCTAATCCTCAGTGATTACCTCTTCTAAATGTGAATAGGTGAGAGCCACATAAATTAATCATCACCTCACTAAAATAGCTTTGGCTATATATATCAAAACTACATGTATATCAAATGCCACAATCTATACAGACATAAGAACAATAAGGCTGATCTCAGCTTGATGTTACCTATACACAGAGACTGCACATGGCATGTTAGTAAAACAACTTCAAGAAACTATGAAGGCACTCTACCAACCCCCAATTCATGGCAATAGTTTCATAGTTTTTAGGGGCTGGAAGGGAACTTACAGATCATCAGGTCCAGCCCCCCTGCACTTTGGCAGAAAAGACCGCTGGGGTCAGATGACCCCAGCAAAATGGGCATCAAGATGCTTTTTGAAGATCTCCAGGGTGGATGACTGTACCACCTCTGGGGGGAGTCTGTTCCAAACCCTTGGTACTCAACTTGTAAAGAAGTTTTTTTCTTAGGTCTAGTCTGAAGCAATCTTCAATCAGTTTGTGCCCATTATTTCTAGTTCTCCCCTGGAGGCCTTGGTGAATAGTAGCTCCCCCAGGCCCTGATGTAATCCCCTGATATACTTATAGGCTGCCACCAAGTCCCATCTCAGTCTTCTCTTCTCCAGTCTGAACAGTCCCAAGTCTTTCAGCCTCTCCTCATATGACCTGCTCTCTAGACCTCTAATCATGTGCATGGCCCTCCTTTGGACTATCTCAAGGTTCTCCACATCCTTCCTGAAGTGCGGAGCCAAGAACTGGATATAGCACTCCAGCTACCAAGGCTGAGTAGAACTGGAGGATGACATCTTTAGCCTTGCTCGAGATGCCTTGGTAGATGCATGCTAGCATTTGATTAGCTCTGTCAGCTACAGCAGAGGCATGGTGGCTTATGTTCATTTTGTTGTTTATCAGAACACCCGGGTCTCATTCAGTTGTGGTGCTGGCGAGCGTAGCACTTCCGAGCCTCTAAGTGTGTTGTGGATTATTTCTCCCAGATGGAGCACTCTGCATTTCTTTGTATTTAATTACATCAGGTTGAGGTCTGCCCACCTCACAAGTCTGTCCAGGTAGACCTGTAGTGCCAGTCTGTCCTGGAGCATGACCACGCTTCCCCATAGTTTGGTGTCATCAGCAAACTTTGCCAGTTCACATTTAATACCAGCATCCAAATTGCTGATTAACATATTGAAAAGCACTGGTCCGAGTACTGAGCCCTGAGGGACACCACTGGTCACCTCCCTCCATGATGACCCAGTCCCACCTATAAGTACTCTTTAGGTCCTACCACAGAGCCAATTACCTAGCCACCAGACCATAAAGTAGTCAAGGCCGCATTTTTCCAATTTAACTATGAGGACATCATGGGAGACCAGGTCAAAGGCCTTTTTGAAATC